CCGGGACTACCGCAACCCCCCCAGAGAAGAGCAGTGGAGAGTCCCAGGGGAACCACCCAGCAGCGACAGTGCAGAAGCCCCAGGGAGCTGCAGCGACGAGCCCACAGGCCCCGCCGGCAGCCGTCCATGCCCGAAAGCCGGAGTACCCAGAGAGAATCCACGTATGCACAGGGAGAACATGCAAACTCCATGCAGAAAGACTCCTGACCAGGAGTCGAACCCAGGACCTTCTTGCTGAACAGTGCTACCAACTGCGCCACCATGCAGCCCTCTTTTAATAGAATCAGTTTTATTTAAGAAGAATCCCATAAAGCCGTTACTGCTGAGAGCTGGTGGAATGAATGGCTCAACGAGCTATGACTCTGTGTACATTTAGCAACCGTACTAAAAAGAAACCTGAGATTTTTCTTATTCTCTTCTATTAATGATGAGAAGCTGTTTCAGCTTGGCAAATATGTTTTTTATATATAACAGTAGCCTGTTTTTCCAGATTAAGAGGGAGTCCTCTAGGTGTGTAGTGTGTGTCAAACATTGTGCTTTAAAGTATGCAGTTCTGAATTAAAGCACGGAGCCAGCCTCCTATGAATAATTACTTTCTTTTACAGAAGAGCAACATTGTCCAATGCACCAGAATTGAGTGCAAAATTATTCCCCCTATCTATGTTTTTCTGTGATAATGGCGAAATAAAAAATTGATATGTAGTGGAAAAATCATATTTACCAAAGAAGATCAATGATCATCACTCAATCAGGCTTATTAATTTAGCCTTATAAGGGAGACAGATTTCCAGCATCAGACGAGCTACTGAGCTGAGCCGACAAAGGGGAAACACCTCCTTATATCAGCATTGTAAAATCCCAATGCAGCCCCCCTCTAGGGAGAGCAGAGGTGAGAAATTGAATTAATTCCCTCCTAGATGTCTTGGCTCCTCTGTAATAAACATTCCCCTTTAGCTTGTAAATGCAGTGGGAATGACCAGCAGAAGGGAGCAGGAAGGAACGTGAAAGCCAGTGTTAGGTCAGGCAGATCGTCACCTCAGAAGGACAAAAGCATTTGAAATTTTGCCATCACAGATAATTTAAAGGTTTCTTACAGCATTGTCTGATAATGATCTACTATAATGAAATTTTCTTTCAGGTGTAGAGAACTCAGTTAAATTAAACTTAAATGTTTTTAAAAAATGGTCAGACATGACTGGGTTATGAGGAAATATTGTTATTACTTTACCTCAATGCCATATGTCAGTGCAAGGTCCAGAGAATGAAGACAGAAGTGGGTAGGTTTGCTAATATTTTGAGCAAAGCCAGTTATAGCAAGTCATTAAAGGCTATATTTAGGCTATCACTTTCAGTGTCAATATGAATATTAAAATTCCCCACTATAATGACGTTATCTGTATTTAACACTAAATCAGATAAGAAGTCTGAGAACTGATCTAAAAATTGAGGGCCTGGTGGACGGTACAAAACAAGAAACAAAAGTGGTTTTAGTGTTTTGTAATTTAGATGACGAAAACTAAGGATTACATATTCAAAAAGTTGTAGCTATTAATTGGTCTGGGACTAATCGATTGATCGGACTGAAAGATGGTCGCTACTCCTCCTCGCCAAGTATTTTGAGGTATGTGAAAATTTAAATAATTAGAAGAAGTTGACTCATTTATAGCAACATAATCTTGTTGCAGCCAGGTTTTGTGGGAGAAGAAAGTTTACTAATTTAAAAATGATAAAGAGACAACTGGTTTCCTCTCAGAGCCGACGCGGGGGACCTTTTATTCAGAACACATCTCTGAATACATCCTCATACAAAATCCCAAAGAATCCCAGACCTCAGTTCCTACAGGGCGGTTTTTTTTTTTTTTTATACGGATACAAAGCATTGGTGTATGGGGTCCTCTTGACCAATTGAAATCATACTCATTTATGTAAAACTTTTGGCATCCACAACATTGATTCTCAATCACAGTTCCGAGAATATAAATCCAGGCAAACATCTGCAAAAGATCAGATTGGCCTATGTGACAGTTACACAATAACAATCATGATTTTGGTCAACTCCTCATTCCTGAGCTAAACTGGACTGCTGAACTAATGTCAAAGTGACCTGGCAGGAGTCAGGGTATCATGAGATTTCCTGGCTGAACTACAATAACAAGCCCATCAGTCATTCCTCACGCCAAGAACTTCTCCCTAATGAAATCTGTTTCCAGACAGCTTGCATGCTGCTCAGAGTGAGACTTCACTTATTCCCAGAACAATTCTTCACAGAATTCATTGTACATATGGTAAAAACAATAACACTTTTAATCTAACAAACAAAGCTTTAAGCTTCCACTTATTCCCCCTTTAATTAGGTTTTTAAGCTAATTAACAGCGGAGAGAGGTCTTATGTTCTTATTGTAAATATCCTGTGAATATATGTGATGTATTTAAGTGAGTAAAATGAATAAAAATGTGAACGATTATGGAAAGTAGTGAAATTACATTATGTACAAAATTAAGCAACCCTAAATGATTGCTCTTATTTAGGTCTGAAATTTCGGGTTCAACTAATTCATTAAGATCCTATTTAAAGTTCCTATACGCACATTATTTTAACTGTGTTAGACTATGATAAACTAAACCTATTCACTAATTAGACCAAATCCGGCTACTCTGTAGCTCTTCCCAAAAGTCTCCTTCAGGAACACATCTCATCAACTCACCCATGGACAAACATCCATGTCAGTCAAACTCCCAAACTACGTGTCGATGAAGGGGACCTTCAGGTCAGCTTAGGGCCTCCAGTCGAAAAACCCACCCGTCCTAAAAGGCTGGAGAAAACATCTGGAGGCCTCAGAGAAAACTCATTCTTGGCCAATCTGAACAAGAGATCCCTGTTTTGAATCTAATACGTATCATTATCATCTATTTTAAGGACCTTTCATGCCAAACAGGTCCTGGTTCATCATTCCTATTCACCACAATATATGTAACAGAAAACATTGACCATGTTGAAACTCTGGAGCTGAATATCACAAGAATGGATGCTCCCATTCTATCAGAGTGCATAAACAGCTTGAAGCAATTCAGAACATTAAAACGACATGAAGACAAACTTAAAGTTATACCAGAAAATTGAAAAAATAGTTAAATTCTCAGTAGCAAAACAGTGTAGTTCAGTCTCTCACCTTGGTCTTCCTGGAACATTGTGTAGTCTCTTAGATTGGTTCTTTTCTACTTTATTGTTCTGCCATCGCATTTATCCTGGTTCAGGGTCCCACAAAATCTTCATGTGTCCATAGGTCTCTGAGTCCAACGCCCAAAAAGGTTACTTGTACAGCCAGTCTCTGGATTGGTGTCATTCTGAGAAGACAGAGAATACTGACCAGTATCGTGCTAACCCATGACATTAAAGTACCACATGTCTAATTAAACCTCCGTCATCCGTATATTATTGTATTCTTCATGTCTCCATAGTCCGATTCCTGTTCGTGTCCACTTTCACGTCCGATTAACTGTTCCACATATTCCCTTCTAAACCATACAAAACTCTAAACAATTAAAGAATATGAAACCAACTAATGTATCTAGTATCAAAGCTTAAGTTGTGCAAAAAGGAGATTGTTATAGCTTCAGGATCAACCCAGGCCAAAATAACAACCAAAACAGATCTGCCTTTTATGGATAAAACTTACCTGATAAAAGAAATTGAAACCAAATACATTCATCTTACCTTCCTAAATTAACAGAAACAGGAGAAAACGTTCAACAAAAATGGCAGTTAAACCCTTACTAACCTCCTCTTAGTTACTACATCATACATGTTATCCAAGCATTAGACGTCAGGGGCCTTGTTCAGAACATAGTCGTAACAGAAGTGTCATATGTAAATTGGGTATCGTTCCATCACCTTTTCTGTATTTCGTCAATGTCCTCCTTTATCATAGTCCAATGCAATGATGACGTGAAAAGGGGTGTGACGACTTTCACAGTAGTGCTGAAACTCCAGCCCCGAGTACATAGAAATCTCAGAAAACAAAATAATTATGAGCAGAAATGAATCTTTGAAACCAAATTTAACAATGAAAATCTTCTAGATTAGAATTGTGCTGCATTAAATATACAATACATAAGGTTCTCAAGAAATAGAATAAAAGGTCAAACCATTTTCCATTCTGAAAGAACATTCTTCTAAAAGCTCTCTTAACGAGAACCCAGGTCCAGCCTCCACATCAACGAAGGGTAACGTTCTGTAGGTCAATTTGGTTCCCTCTCATCACCTGTATCGATAGAGAGATCTGAACTGCTCCTTTTAGCAGTGGTAATCAATTTTATTTGCTCAGGCTTTTCATGCAAAAGAAAGAAACAGAAGTTAGCAAGGATAGTTCAAGCAATCATCTTTTCCCCTGAAAGCATGCTTAATGTCATTCTGCCTCACCCTATCAGCACAGATATTGTTCTAAACTATGTATTTCTCAGATATTATCCTGAAAAGAGATAGATTGACATTGCTAACTACTGTGTTCTTGTACAGTAAGTCAAAGTAAGTTGAACGGTCTTCAGTTTGATCCAGTGTCTGAAAATAGTATGTCTAGTATGCATTTTATTAACATTCAGAAATTAGTCATCTTATAGACCCTTGTGTGACCTCACCTCATGTGTTATTTTATTCTTAAATCGATCTCATAAACTTTTGATGTAACCCCCTTTGGTCAGAAAGATACATCAGAACATTTAGATGTGTTGTTCAGGCTTCACAGATAAGTTCAGGTTTCCCATCTTATTCGACTTAAGACATGAGCCTTGTCACTTATGTACTTCAAATGGTCCTCTCACTCACAGTTAAATAACGTTTCTTTTTTTGATATTAGATGCTGTTTGAGATGATGCATCCCAGTTTATTCAATGGAGAAGGAGATCTGTAGTTTTCAACTGCCACTGTGGGGCTGCCGACATAAATCAAGAGGATAGAGAATGGTGGCCCAAGACAGTCTACCTCTATCTCACTCCATGTCTGTCTCCTCTCTAGTTCTTTAGACAATTTTAGTTTGTTTTTGTCTTTTTTCAGCTTTTAGTTGTTAATTCTTCCTTGTTGCTTTGCAGTTCATCCCGTTTTTATTTTAACATATATTAGCATTGACTTCAGCCTCTTTAGGTTATATTTTCTTCAGTTTGCTCCAGTATCATCTAGCTCAGCTGGTTGTCTTTTTAGGTTTTGTCAATTCTTGTATTTCAATAACTGTTTCAACAAGTTATTTTGAGGTAACTTCACCTAGTTAAGCTA